ACCGGCCTTGTTATTACTTATAAAGTAAAAATATTCATTAAAAAAATAAAACATTCATTAAATTAAAAAATGGATGGGAAAGTGTCTAACAGATCTTGGTGCATGCTGGGTATCCAAACTATTTTCCTTCTCTCTTTCCTTTCCTTCTTTTGGCAGAATTTGTGCTAGGTGCTCTTGGAAATAAAAACACAACTATGACCTACCTAGAATCTGCCCTTGAGATGCTTGACCATAGTACAGGGAGAAATGTAATCAGTGCTCCACAGAGGGGCAAGTGACTTGCCCAGTGGAGCACTGAGGAGGTAGGAGCTGATTCCATGTTGGCAACTGGAGAAGCCGAGAAGGAGGAAGTGGCTCTTGAGAAAGAACCTCATGAATGGATAGGATTTCTCTGTTTCTTTTCTCTTCTCTCCTCGTTCATTCTCTTCCTTTCTTCTTAAGCAAGTATTGACCCAGAATTAAAAATATCCAGAGGTAGAGAAGGCTTAAAGCACAGTCTGGTTAAGACCCTCTGGTTCTGTCAGCCTGGTTCTCCCTCTTGTGCTGGCTTTGTCCTCAGGTTTATGGATAATAAAGAGCAACTCAGTGTCTCCTGTAAACTCAATTTCAGGAAAACTGACACATGTGCAAACAGATGTTTGTACACCATCGTAGGGGTTCACAGACTCTGGAGCCCATCCATCAGTCCCAGATTTAACACTCTGAATGAAGAAAACAGCCCCTATGTAGATAAGTTGATGGTCATGGTACTCTTGCCCCCCATTTATTTTTTTTTTTTTTGAAGTTAACTTGAAAGGGGCCTTTTCAGTTGAAAGGGTGAACCATCCTGAATCCTTTCTTAAAAAATGGAGCTCTGAAGTAAAACTTGCCTAGGCAGGGAGAGCAGGATTTTAACAGATAGTGATGAGGGAGAAAGCTGGTCCAGGCTGATGAAGCAGCATGAGCACAGAAAGGCACTGTGACAGTTGAGCTTAGAAATATTTGGGTAAGGTGAGCAGACAGGTCTCACTGTGGAAGGGTTCCATCAGGGCGAGTTCTGATGACAGTGCATGGCTTGAGGGGTAAGAATAGGTGTTTTGTTACATGCATTTCTCACAGTTATAGTTTGACATTTGTGTGATTATTTGATTAATGTCTGCCTTCCCCATTGGTCTGTCAGGTCCAATGAGCATAGGCGCTATGTTTCTTTCTGCTCAGCTCTGTACTCCCAGCACTGGTTGATGGCCTACTACATAATGATGTTCAGGACACATTTTGGAAATTAACAGGTGGATGAGTGGAGGGATGAACAGTTTCTGAGTGGGGAGCGACACTTTGGATCAATGTTTCTCACAAATGTGAGCTCTTTCATGGTTTCCTTCTTTGCTCATCAGTAGTCATCAAGCAGGGGTAGAAATTAGCACCTTGTCGGCCAAGCCTTCCTTTGGGCAGATCAGATTATTGGAGCTCTCCTTGGTGAGGCATACAAATCATGGTTGACATCTGCCAAATTCTTGATTTGTGCACACACAATTTGACCTAAGGTAGCTTGAAATGGTCTAAAAACATGCGTTTTTGGAATCAGATAAGACTGGTTCAAATTTTAGCTCTACCTCTTATTAGCTATAAATTTCTGAGGAAATTACCTCACTTCTCTGGATCTCCTTTCCTCATCTATAAAACAGGAATGACAATAAATAGCTATAGTGTTGTAAGGATTAAATTATCTGGGAATATAAAGGGGCTGGCTCATAGGGGGTGTTATTTTTTACATTTTGTTTTATTTTCTCATCGTGTACTTGAAAATCACGAGGAAGTATTTTATTTTTTCTGATTTTTAAAAAAACATCATATTGGGTGCCTTGGTGGCTCAGTTGGTTGGGTGTCCAATTCTTGATTTCAGCTCAGGTCATGATCTCAGGGTCATGGGATTGTGCCCCACTTTGGGCTCCACACTGGGTGTGGAGCCTGCTTGGGATTCTCTTTCTCTCCCTCTCCCTTTCCCCTTGCACCCTTCTGCTCCTGTACTCTCTCTCCCTCTTAAAAAAACAAAATAATAATAAATAAAATAAAATAGCAACTTCATGCTCAATGTAGAACATTTGTTCTAAACAGCAAAGTCTAAAAGACAAATTAATTGCTTTATCTATGACACTGCATTTGAAATAAACATGGATAGCGTTTTGATGTGTTACTTTCTAGTGTTTTCTCCATTCATGAGAAACTTTATTTCTTTGTTTCTATGAGAAACTATTTTAAATAGAGAATTCTATCACATGGCACTCAAAGCAAGGGAGTACAAATAGGTGAAGAGTGGGGCGCCTGGGTGGCTCAGTCGGTTAAGCATCTGCCTTCAGCTCAGGTCATGATCCCAGGATCCTTTGATCGAACCCTGCATCAGGCTCCCTGCTCAGTGGGAAGTCTGCTTTTCCCTCTCTGCCGTTCTCCCTGCTTGTGTTCTCTCTGTCAAATAAATAAATAAAATCTTTTAAAAATAATGAAAAATAAATAAATGAAAGAAAAGTAAGTCTTCTCTCTACCCTGACCCCAGCTACCAGTTCCCCTGTTCCTCAGAGACAACCGCTATTACCAGGTTTTTAGGTGGCCTCCCAGGGCTAGTTTACATATTTAGAAGATCTATTTAATCATCTTCTCACGCAAACACTGGAATAGTGTACCTGCCCTTTGCACTGGAGGCCGCCACAAAAGTGAGTTCCATTTCAGTGCTCATAGGCGTCTGTGGGCAGGGCCACGTAGGGCTCTGGTGACAAGTTCTGAGGGCTAGCAAGGCTTGGTCTCGGTTGTGCATTTTTACTCTTTGAACTGAAAATCTGCAAACAAGAAAACAGGTGTTAGAATTCTCAGTCTCAACCGTTTCTACAGTTGCTCATGCGAGGAACAGATTGCAGGCAATGGCCAGGGCCAGCAGACAAGGTGGTCTGAAGCAGAATTCAAGCTTCTCCAGCATTTCATTGACAGTCAATGTTTCTAAACTGATGGCTTGAATGAGTGTTCTGACATGGAAAGATAATATGTTGCAATTGGGATTGATTAGAAAATCAGAGATGTGTGTCTCCTAGAATGCTCTGGAGTGAAGGCCAGAGCCTAAATCAATATGGCTTACTCTGAGACCAGTCCTGCTCCACTGCCCCGCTACCCTCAGTTCATCACTGGAGCATCTCGTCTCCTCTGCAGTTTGCACCCCATCGGATGCAGGTCTGTCCGTCCAAACTCTCACTGGGCTATCTCACTGCCTTCAGACCAGCCCTCCCTGCCGGAGAGACCAGGTTCTCTCTACTCAGACTTCCTCTTTCCCTCCTGTTAATTAATTCATCAACCCAAGAACACTGAGAACTTGACCTTTTACTGACCCAGGGGACAAGGAGGGGGGATAGGAATTTGGACTTGTTCAGAGCTAAGCTCCAGAGAGCAGTGAATAAGAATGAACTGATGCATTTGAATATTATACACCTGAAACTAATATAACATTGCATGTTAACTATATTGGGATTAAAATAAAAAACTTAATAGGGCACCTGGATGACCTAGTCGTTAAGCATCTGCGTTTGGCTCAGGTCATGACCCTGTGTTGGGCTCCTTGCTCAGCGGGAAGCCTGCTTCTCCCTCTCCCACTCCCCTTGCTTGTGTTCCCTCTCTCACTGCCTTTGTCAAATAAATAAATAAAATCTTTTTAAAGAACCAACTTAATAAAAAAAGAAGCTGATGCATCTGAGGCACCTCATCTGTAAAATGAATATTAAATAATATAATGGATATGACATGCTTTGTAAGTGCTATATAAGCATAAGGGGCTCATATTTTTATAAGGATGATGATAATTTAAAACTAAGACATAGAAACCAACAATTTTTCAAATGAATTTTTATCTTACAAAAGTGCTACTTATTCATTTTAGAAGATTTTTAATATATGTTAAAAAAGTAAGGGAAATTCTCAGAGTCTTATTAGAAAATGTGATATCTTACAGTATATATACAGTATCTGCCCTTTCTATGCCTCTGGGACTGTGTCTATGGGAGGATTATTTTTCCTTTGGCAACAAATTTTGCCCTGTGATTTACTCTGGCCAATTAAGTGTGAGTGGAAATGACACGTGCAACTTCTGAGCTGAAGCTTTAAGAGCCTAGTAAGGCTCTGCCATCTTTTTCCTCCTGTCACAAGACTAGCTTTTCTGTCATTCTAGATCTTGGAATGAAGACTTCTGTTGGACATGTAATGTGAGTGAGAAATAATCATTTATTCTTGTCAGTGCCTGAGATTTGGAGGTTAATGCAGCATAAATTGTCCTAAGATACCTGATACAATGAAATATAATAACTGTTAATATTTTGGTGTATATCCTTCATGCTTTTTTCTATACCTATATTCTATATTTTTTTATAAAAATAGGATCATAATGTACCTATGATTTTTGAAGTGTTCTTCTCATTTCACCTGCAAAATTTTAGTATATATCTCTCTCTAAAACACAAGGATTCTTCTTGAAATATAATCACAATACCATGATCACACTTAAAATGAATACTAATCCAAATAAGGTCCAGATTTTGCACAAGGTTGATGTGTCTCTTACATCTCTTCATTTCTAAGTTCCTTCTCCCCACCTCTCTCTCTTGTTTACCCTTGTGATGTATTTGTTGAAGAAACTGAACTGATTCCGTAAAGTTTCTCACAGTCCAGATTTTGCTGATTGTATATTCCCATGGTACCATTTAACATGTTCCTCTTTCTACTATATTTCCTGTAAATTGCTGATTAAATCGAGAGACTTGATCAGATTCAGAGAACAGATATTTAAACTCAATACATTATGAACATTTTTGTTGTATTAATGACTACAGAGTTGTCAAAAATAAGAATCTATGTAATTTCTTTAGCTGGTCCTCTGCTGTCAGTCATTTGGATTGTTCTCATTTTTTGCCACCATACACAACTTTCTGATAAGGCTTCCTTTGGACTGATGGTTCTCTGGCCTGATTTGCTTCCTTCTGCTCTCTTAGTTCCTGCGGATGGTGGATGCCTGTGCCAGCTTCCTAACAGAAGCCTTGAACCCTGAAAACTGTGTTGGAATACTGAGGCTGGCGGATACACACTCGTTGGACAGTCTGAAGAAGCAGGTTCAAAATTACATCATTCAAAACTTTGTGCAGATTCTGAACTCTGAGGAGTTTCTCGAACTTCCTGTGGACACTCTGTACCACATCTTGAAGAGTGATGACCTCTATGTGACCGAGGAGGCTCAGGTGTTTGAGACTGTGATGAGTTGGGTCCGGCACAAACAGTCAGAACGACTCTGCTTGCTCCCCTATGTCCTTGAGAATGTGCGCTTGCCACTTCTGGACCCATGGTACTTTGTGGAGACGGTGGAGGCAGATCCTCTTATCAGACAGTGCCCAGAGGTCTTCCCGCTGCTTCAGGAAGCCAGGATGTACCACCTTTCAGGCAATGAGGTGAGTTGACATTGAATGAGCCTGTAGTTAAGCAACGAAGCAGAGGAGTCAGTGGCCTTACAGAAATATAGGTGAGGCTGGCTTACCAATCTTTACAGCACAGAGAAGGCACTGTTCTGTTTGTGGTTTGAGTCAGGCAGTTCCAAAGGCCCTGGATTTCTGATCTGTAAAATGGGGCTGATATGACATAAACACCTACTAAGAGGACTGAGTGAGATGGGAAATCACTCAGCACCATGCCGGGCACATCCTCCCTCATCCCAGGGCATAAGGGTGGAGGTTGGTGGGGGTGACACACACAGGACGGAATGTGCCCTGTCTGGTTGCCATCCCATAGGAGTACTGCTTTCCTAGTTTGCCTGCTCTGGAGAACCACGAGTCTCTTGGATATCCTGTGACATTACCTTGGTCCAGACTGTCATTGTTTCCTTCCTGAGTTTCTGAAAATTCCCCAAAACTCATCTTCCTGCCCTCAGTCTGGCCTCCCTCCAATTTATTCATCAGCTGGATGATCTAAAACTCAAGCCTGAGGGCACCTGGGTGGCTCAGTCTTTAAGCAACTGCCTTCAGCTCAGGTCATGATCCCAGGGTCGTGGGATCGAGCCCTGCATCAGGCTCCCTGCTCAGCGGGAGGCCTGCTTCTCCCTCTCCCACTCCCCCTGCTTGTGTTTGCTCTCTAGCTGTGTCTCTCTCGGTCAAATAAATAAATAAAATCTTTAAAATTAAAAAAAAAAAAAAACTCAAACCCAATTATTGTGCTCTTGGGCTTACCCTCTTCACAGCTCCCCATGACTCTCAGGGTAAAGCCCACACCTTTCCTGCCTGAGCTCCCAGAGCCTCGATTACATACTTTACCTCTGCCCACTTCTCTAGCGCCATCTCCAGCCTCTCCCCACTGCTAGGGTGTGGGGATGTGCTTTTTCATCCACTAATGCAGACTAAGGTTCAAGTGCTTTTTTCCTCTTTCCGTCTAGTTGACTTCTGCACCAGCTGCAAAAAGTTAAAAGCACCACCTCAGAGACCTCCCTCATTCCCCTAGCACCTGGTTCATTGCTCTGTCATAGCACCAACTGCCACATGGTAACCATTGACTTCCTCATCTGTAAATGTCTCTATACTGGCAGCTTGTTATGGTCAGAAATATGTCTTATTGGACTTTCCATCTCCAGACATTAGGAGAATCCCTGATATAGAGTAACTGATTGGTAAATGTTTGTTGAATGAATAAATGGGTACCAAGATGATGAATACGCATATCATTTGGCTGTACCTGGTTCTCCTTAACAACTTCTGAAGAAGTGTTTTATTCAAAACTTCACACACACAAAAATAGGCTTAGTGGAAAGGAACAAAACCATCAGGAAATAATAATATAGGGACAGCGTGTTAAGCTTATATGCATGAACACACACACCTATATACCACTGTACAGTAATTCTGGGATAGGCTTCTAAACCTTCATTAGGCCATTGATAGAAATCCTAACCACAAGTGGTTTAGAAATTATCTCTCTGAGGCCACCGGAGCCTCCTTCTTTTCCTATATGTCCTTTTCTATTTGTGTGTTGCCTTCAGATCTGCTGTCATTGATTCACTCTGCAACTATCCTGAAATGTTTAGTAGAATTTACCAGTGATACTATCAGAATCAGGAGGTCAGGAGGGTTTTTTTTTAAAATATTTTATCTATTTATTTTAGAGAGAGAGAGAGAGAGAAAACGCAAGTCAGGGAGAGAGAGGGACAAGCAGACTCTGCACTGAGCGCGGAGACTGATGTCAATCTCACAACCCTGAGATCGTTAACCCAGCCGAAATCAAGAGTTGGATGCTCAACAAGCTGAGCCACTCAGGTGCCCCAGGAGTTTTCTTTGTGAGATTTTTAACTACAAATTGTATTTCTTTAATATATATAGGGTTATCTATTTCTTCTAGAATGCTTTGGTAGTTTGCATCTTTCAAAGAATTTCCCCATTTCATAGAGGTTATGGAACTTACTGGCATGAAGTTGCTCATGGCATTCCTTTATTATCCTTTTAATATCTGTAGAATCTATAGTGATGTCACATCTCTCACTCCAGATATTAGTAGTTAATGTTTCTTCTCTTTTTTTCCTGATCAGGCTGGTTAGAGGTTTATCAGTTCTATCAGTTTTCTCAAAGAAACACCTTCTGGTTTCATTAGTTTTTATGATTTCATTTATTTGAATCTAATCTTGATTATTTTCTTTCTTCTGCTTACTTTGGGTTTAATTATCTCTTGTTTTTTTTAAATTGGAAGCTGAAGTCATTGATTTGAGAACTTCCTTATATTTTCTAGTATTATCAGTGGTGCTATAAATTTCCTGCAAACTATTTTAACAGCATCCCATATATTTTAATAAGCTATACTTTTATATATGTATGTATGTATTTTTTGCAAATAAATTCTGAACACCAACTGTGTGCCAGATATGGCACCAGGCACTACAAAAACAGTCTCTGCCTTATGGTCTATCAGAGAAGCTAAGACACTAAGTGAATGAACAGTGATGAGTAGACTGAAAGAGAGAGTCCAGGCAACCATATGGGTCCTACCACATGCTGGGTATGTGGGTCGCTGGCAGATGGCTCAGCACTGGGTCATCAAAGCCCTCATAAAACTGCAGACAGTGTCTGTCTCTACAACTGCTCTCAGTTCAGTGTTCAAAGTATAGAGTCTTGCTCAACTACACTTCCATTATTCTAGCTACTTTTATTTCTGCTTCCTGTATCCTAAGTCCCTAAAATACAGGTAATAAAGGTTTTCTGCTGATAAAAATTACCTAAGTTGCTGCTATGAAGTATGTACTCTGACTTTGGTATTTGCAGTGTGTGGGAGAGTGGCATTATGAATTTTGGGTTTAGGAGAGGAGAGAATTCTGATATCTGGCAGAGTTTCCAGTGGCAGGAACTTGGGCTTTATATTTAGGCAGATCTGGGCTTTAATCTTGACTGCACAATTTACTGACAGTGTGACCTTGGGTAAGCCAGTTAGCTGCTTGAAAGCTCTGTCCTGACCTATAACATGGAGATAATAATGCCTACCAACTGATACAGTGAGAATTAAATAGGATAATGAATGAGATGTGGTTAGCACAGTGTCTGGTGCATGGTTAAGGCCCCACAAATGAGACCATTCTCATTCTCTTGCAATTCCTTTATGGTACACTATCTCTCACAACCAGGCATTTTCTCTCTCTAAATCTGTGATTTCTTTTTTCTTTTCTTTTCTTTTTTTTTTTTTTTTAAAGATTTTGTTTATTTGTCAGAGAGAGAGAGAGAGCACAAGCAGGGGGAGTGACAGGCAGAGCAGGCAAAGCAGGCAGAGGGAGAAGCAGGCTCCCTGCTTAGCAAGGAGCCTGATGTAGGCAGGACTCGATCCCAGCATCCTGGGATCATGACCGGAGCCAAAGGCAGATGCTTAACTGACTGAGCTACCCAGGCATCCCAGATTTCTCTTTTCATTGTGTCCAAGGGTTGCTGCTTTTCCCCAAATCCTCCTCAGGGCACTTTCTCATTCCTATTTTACAATCTGGGTAACTGAACCAACCAACCATTGTGATCTTTGAATTGGGGTATCAATTGCCAGTTCATTCCTTGAAACTCCGTCTGCTCACTACTTGAATAATCCTGGGTTTCCTCCTGATAATAGTGGTCTAAGTCTGGAGGCCGCTCTTTGAACACAGTTATCCCCTTAACCTTCCTTTTTCAAACTTCAGCTCTTCTTGTCCTATCATCATCTCTCCCTTTTAACCTTGTTCCTTCTCTAAGTTTGGGGAGGTGGAAAACAGTGAGATCTTTTAGAACCCTAAAAGCAGATGTCAGTCTGCATTCGATTTAGGAGTGGTAGCTAGTACCTTCATGGAGAGAAGTCTTTGGGGGCAGAGATAGTTTCCCCTTTATTTCATTGCCTCCTAAATGTCTAGCGACCACCTTGATTTATACCCAAAGCTGCTCTGGCATGCGTGGTGTCTCTCACTCCTGAGTGAGGCAGAGGCTCACCCCTGAGGACAGCTTTGTTAAAGCAACATGGTCTCTTCTGCTGGTCCCCTAGTATAGGCCTTGTTAATGAATAGTCAGCAAGGTGCAACTGTTTGTTCTATTTTTAACAATCTGAAAAGAAACTAGTTAGGCCTAATTGTTGCATGTGATTCACCGGCAAACCCTTCTGTGTGTCTGCAAAAACTTGCACATCTCTGACTTCAAGACTGGCCTTGTCATGATGACTTTGGGGTTAATATTTTGTCAAATGTAGCTGAATTTACAGTTTGATAATAGCCACCACTTAGGAGTTCTGTGGTGCCAAGTGATGAAGTGGGTCTTAATACCTAACAATGCCGTCTACTAGATGGTTGTATTAGTTATCTATTGTTGTGTAACAAATTGTCCCTAAACTTTAAGGCAATAAACATTTATTATCTCACAGCTCACAGGAATCTAGGCATGGTTTATTTGGATGGTTCTGGCCCAGAGTCTCTCATGAAGCTGTAGTCAAGCTATTGGCAGAGGCTACAGTCATCTCAAAGCTCAAACAGGGTTGGAGGATCAAATTCCAGGCTCACTCACAGGATTGTTGACAGGTGTCAGTTCCTTGCTGGCTGTTGGCTGGAAGCCTCAGTTTCTTACCACGTGGGCATCTCCACAGCAGCTGGCTTTTCCAGAGAAAATGGTCCCAGAAAGACTGAGAGATCCATCAAGATGAAAGCAGTAGTGCTTTTTATTTTTATTTTTTTTAAGATTTTATTTATTTATTTGACAGAGATCACAATAGGCATAGAAGCAGGCAAAGAGAGGGGAGGAAGAAGGCTCCCTGCTGAACAGAGAACCCGATGCGGGGCTCGGTCCCAGGATCCTGGGATCACAAACCAAGCCGAAGGCAGAGGCTTTAACCCACTGAGCCACCCAGGTACCCTGAAAGCTGTAGTGCTTTTTAAAACCTAGTTTCAGTACTGATAAATCTTCACCTCTGCTGTATTCTGCTGGCATAGAGGCCAACCCTGGAACAATGTCGGGGGAACAACATAAGATGTAAATACCCTGAGGTGGGGATTGCTGGGTGCCACTGTGGAAGCTGGCTACAATGGTGATCTAGACTGGAAAAAAGTCTGTATTGGGTCCTGGGTTACCTAAATCAATCATTCATTCATTCATTCATTCAGCAAGTGTTCATAGAATCCCACAACCTCCAAGCACTATTCTTGATGCTGAGGATCTATTGGAGAATAAGGGCTGTTTCTGCCATCAGGACCTTATAGTAAATTACAAAGAAGTAGGAAATGTGTTGTGATAGGGGAATTCAGGACTGTGGGAACATGTGTAGAAAGTCAAGAATGACTTCTTGGAAGAAAGGACCAAGGGACATTACAAATAATGCCTGTGACTTAAAGGGTAGGTGGATGGGGAAGTGGTATGGGAAATCAAGGACAAATATTATGGGAGGATCCAGATAGCAGGAATGCAGAGTTTTCAGTCAATGGGAGCAGTCTTTCACAGCCTAGGACTCAGGAATAGGGTCCCAGGCTGGGAATCAGGAGTAAGATCACAGCTAGTCCAGTTCCCTACAGGCCAACAGGCTATTGAGGCAAGAGAGCAGCCACTGTGAAGAAGACGGGGCCTTCAGAGGAAGGCCGAGGTCTGGCTTTCAGAACTGGAATAAAGGTCATACAGGGACCAGTTCTGGGAAGCTAGTGCTATCATCTAAGCATTGCTCCGCAGTCCCTAATTCTTTTGAAAGGACCAAATTTGTGCTGGAGTTGCATCTCAGCTGTGGGGAGGGGAGATTTAGGGACATGAAGCAGGGCAGATAGTGGGAAAGAAAATGACAGAGTGGCAAAATTTGTCTTTGGTGCCGGCTCATTGCTCAGATCCTGTCCTGCCAGCTTGGTTTCTCACAGTGCCTCTAAGTTCCCAGGACCACCCCTTCCACCCTTATCCCAGCTGTCTTCTCCACTGTCAGTGCCCTCAGATTCTGCCCATTGCCCTCCCCCACTTCTTTCTGCTGACCTCCAAAGGAGAGCCCTGCAACATACTTTATGGCCATGAATTGAGTACGAAAAATTTACTGTATCTGACTCTTTGGTACAGAAAACCAAAGTCTCTTACTTTGTTTGGTCTGCTTATTTGTGACCATTGAACCTCAAGTTCGCCACTTGAGGGGGCAGTTTTTGCTACTGTAACTTGTTTGTCACACCTGTGGTCAAAATTGAAGTGTCATAGCCTGTGTGAGGTCAGCCTGACCTTGCAGCCTGCTTTGGTATTGAGAAATGGGTGCTACCTTTCCGTTTCCTATTAGCCCACTTGCAGAACCTGCCCCACTGAGCCCAGGGGATGGATGGAACCAGGAAGAGGGCAGCTCTCCCTTTTCCCCAGTAATGCTGATATGACATCTCTAGCTGCTCCTTCTGCCATGACTGTTAAGGGCTGTGCCTATGCCAGGTGCTCCGCTCATCCCTCTACATCACAACCTCATGAATGCTCACAATGACTTGGTGACACAGAAGTGATCTCAAGCATTTATGGAGATTGTGTTGCTTCTCCAAGGTCACATAGCCACAGGTGGTGAAACCAGGACTAAACTCTGGTGTATTTGACTTTCAAACCTCTGTTCTTTCAGCTGGGTTCAAATTTCTATGGTGTGTGGGTTTTTTTGTTTGTTTGTTTTTGTTTTTGTTTTGCTTGTTCAGGGCTCTGAAGGGTCATATCTTTGATGTTGGGACCCAGTCCTCCAATGTCCCTGGCCACACCATGCTCCTGTTTGAGACTTTTCCCCTAAGTCTCCAAGTGCTCTTGTGTGCCTACCATCAGGACTTCTCTTTCAGAAGAGGTCTGGTGGTGAGCAAAGTCTGGGATATCATTAAGAAATTGAAACCGAGAGTGGGGGAAGGTAGCCAGAAATGAAATTCCAGGGTTCAAACTTTCAGACTGGGCAGGAAGGGTGAAGTACTTTTGATGGTAAATGGACCTGGACTTCTTAAAATAGCAGCAAAAGCAACAATAGGTAACCTTTGTTGAGTATTTAATATATACGCTGGGCCCTTCCAAGCCAGGCACACTGCATATGTGATACCATTTCATCCTTACCACAGACCTATGAGGTAATTACGGCTCAAGTCCCCATTACACAGATGATGGAGCTGAGGCTCAAGGTGAGGTCACATGGTGGCAGAGTTGGGAACTGGGCTCTGCTCGGTCTGGCTCCATAGCCTGGGCTCTGAACCTCTGTGTCATCCTGCCTTTACGTACTCCCATTGGTTTTCCAGATCATTTCGGAGCGCACCAAGCCCAGGATGCATGAGTTTCAGTCTGAGGTATTCATGATCATTGGTGGCTGCACGAAGGATGAACGGTTTGTGGCGGAGGTTACCTGCCTGGACCCCCTGCGGCGCAGCCGCCTGGAGGTGGCCAAGCTCCCCATGACGGAGCATGAGCTGGACAGTGAGAATAAGAAGTGGGTGGAGTTTGCATGCGTGACATTAAAAAATGAGGTCTACATCTCAGGTAAGCAGGAGCCAAGTGATGCCAAAGCAAGTCCCCAGGAGCACTATGTATTTTCTGAATGAGAGCCAGGCAACAGGCTTAGAAGGATTACTATGAATGGTGATGATCTAGCTCTGGCAGGGTCAGCACATGGAAACCAGGAGCTTAGGTGATCCTATCCTGGAAAGCACATTCTTACTTAATGGAGGCTAACCTGTGAGCAGTTGTACTAGGATCTGGGGAAGCAGCAGACAGGTCCGGTCCTTCATGGAAGGGAAGAAGGAAAGTGATACTAGAGCTTATTTGGCATTTGCTAGAGGGGTATGACACTGAGCTGGGCACTGGGTAATGAATAAAAATGTCTGCTGTTCACCCCAAACCTGAACCTCACCTCAAATTTATTGTTATACTTTTAAAGATTTTTTTTAAATGCATTTATTTGACAGAGAGACATGCAGTGAGAGAGGAAACTCAAGCAGGGGGAATGGGAGAGGGAGAAACAGGCTTCCCACAAAGTAGGGAGCCCAGTGCAGGGCTCGATCCCAGGACTCTGGGATCATGACCTGAGCCGATGGCGACGCTTAACTGACTGAGTCACCCAGGTGCCCCAACTGTCATACTTTTAGATGCTCCAGTAGCACACAATACTTTGTCATTTGTCACTTCTAAGTTACTTGCTTATTTACTATTACACTGCGCCTGACTCCCATTAGTCCTTGAATTCCAGAGAGTCAATACTGTATTGCCAGTACCTAGCCCTGCACCTAGCTACTAGTAAATGCTTAATATATATTTATTAAGTGACAAAGTCTCTATCATCTTTACAGCACAGTAGGTGAATTTACACTTTGGTGGTATTTAATCATTTTCCTCTCACATCAACTCTCTAAGGTAGGTGATTTTAATCTCCAGTTTACAAATGGAGAAAATGCAGGCTCTGAAGGGTTATGGAATGTATCTGAAGACAGGTCACACATTGGTAAACATCAGGCAGGGTTTCAACCCAGGTTCTCTGAGTCCCATGCTCTCCCCAGCTCTTCTTGGGGCTCCTGGGGAGGAGACAATCATCCCTTGTCCTCTCTTGGTGGCTTTCTCTAATCTGTATTTGTTTGGGGAAGAGCTTCTTCCCAGAACCAGTATCCTCCAAAATCAAAGTCACATCATTTCTTCCCTGGGAATATTAATGTCATAGATTACGTGATAACTTTTGTTTATCTTGTAGAAATAATTTTTTAAAGATCTTATTTATTTATTTGACACAGAGAAAGAGAGAGAGAGAGAGAGCGCACAAGCAAGGGAGCAGCAGAGGGAGAGGGAGAAGCATGCTCCCCGTTGAGCAGGGAACCAGATGCGGGACTCGATCTCAGGACCCTGGGATCATGACCTGAGCCAAAGGCGGAGGCTTAACCATCTGAGCCACCCAGGCGCCCCACTATAGAAATATTTTTTGATTGCTGTTGAAGATTCAAATAATATAGAGAGTATAAAGTAAAATATGGCAGTTTCTCTGTGCCATTACTATCTTACATGTTTTAACTTTTTTTTTAATTAAAGATTTTTTTTTAATTTATTTATTTGACAGACAGAGATCACAAGTAGGCAGCGAAGCAGGCAGAGAGAGAGAGGAAGGGAAGCAGGCTCCCCACCGAGCAGAGAGCCGGACACGGGGCTCGATCCCAGGACCCTGAGACCATGACCTGAGCCGAAGGCAGAGGCTTAACCCACTGAGCCACGCAGGCGCCCCCATGTTTTAACTTTTTTACAAAAATAATTTTATATTGGTTTAGAGTAAGCTAATGCTAGTTGCTGTCACAAATGCTAAATCTCAATGAATTATTGCAATAGTATGTGGGGAGAGTGGACCTGCTTCACTCAGTCATTCAGAGACCTAGCCTCCTTCCATCTGATGCTGCTGCTGTTTTCCATACATGGCCTTTCAAGGTTGATGGAATTCAGGAAGAGGGAGATACTGAACGAGTTGAGAAAGCACACCTGCTCATAACAGCCTCAGCCTGGATGGGAGGCATCAATCTGCCTACATTCTATGGACAAGAACTAGCCACATTCCCTGCTGCACCACCAGCCCCCATGGAGGGGGTCTAGGAAATGTAGTTTAGCTGCGTGCACAGGAGGAAAAGACAGGTTTGGCAATCATAGTCTATGTCACAAATGCTACACACGTTATATTCTACAGTTTGTCCTTTCCTTCACTTAGATTTGTTGTTGTCTATTGAAAATTGATACAGGCAGTGCATGAAGGCATGCTTGTTACACACAGTTAAATCACAGAAACTTGTACTTCAATTAATGATTTTGGACATAATTACATATCAATATAATGAATCTTAATTATGGATTAAGTCTATTGAATGAATGAAACAATTTTTTTAGCTTTTATTTTCCCACTGGAAAAAAATACTGCAATAGGCATTTTATTTTATTATTTTATTATTTCAAGGATTTTATTTATATATTTTAGAGGTGGGGGGGAAGAACAGAGAAAGAGGGAGAGGGACAAGCAGACTCCACACTGAGCACCGAGCCCCACACAACGCTCAAACCCGTGACTTGGAGATCATGACCTGAACCAAAATCAAGAGTCAGGCACTCAACCAACTGAGCCACACAGTTGCCCCACAATAGGTATTTTAATACACATATATTTAAGAACTTGTGTTGCTGTTTGGAGAGATTCCTGGAGGTGCCTTTTGTAGTTCGTAAGTGTCATGATTGGGTGTTCATGCTATTGTGTGACATGTGCCTCCCTTAAACCTTTTTACGATCATGGCACATTACCCATCTGATGTGAAAAAAAAAAAAAAGATTTATCAATTTAGAATTGTTGTAGATATTGTTAAATTGTGCTCCAGAAAGTTTGTAACAATTTACAGTTCAACCAATGTTGAACAGTGCCCATTTTCTACATCCTTGCTAACATTTTTTATTATTGATTTACATTTTTAATAGCCTAGAATATTTAATTCATTAATTCAATAATTAATTCATTAATGATGGTAGCACATTTTCATATATTTATTAGCTAACACTTTTTTTTTTAGCTAACACTTTCTTTTTAAAAAAATTATCTGTTCCTACCCTTTGTCTTTCTATTGGTAGTTTGCCTTTTTGTTAATTTTTTGGAGCTCTTACTATATACCCTTTGCTGTTTGTATTGCAAATAGTTTCCCTCAGACTATGATTTTCTTTTAACTTTGATTTATATTGTATGTAGTAACTTTCTTTCCTATGTGATTCTATGTTTCATTCATGTCATGCTTAGAAAGCCCCTCCCCACCCCAAGATCATCAACATCTTCTATATACTCTCCAGTTATTTTTATAAAACCATTTACTTTTGAATTTTATTTTCACCATAATGTGAAAGAAGGATCTAATTTAATTTTTCTCCAAATAGCCAATTGTTCTACTACGATTTATTTAATGATCCTTATATCTTTCAATCTCTTCTGTATTCTTGTTTTTCATTGGTCAGTTTGTCTCATCTTATGCCAATACCACAGTGTTCCATTATCATAGCTTTTTAGTATATTTTGGTATTTGCTACGAAAGCCTTCTTATTCATTCTTTTTCCAAAGTTTCTTAGGAATTTTTCCAAATTTACTCTTCCAAATGAAATTTAGAATGATCTCTTCAAGTTCCCTGAAAAGTTCCGAAGGCACTGAATGCATCAATTATCTCAGGGATGGTTGACATTTTTGCAATAACCTGTCTTCTCATCTATGCACATGATATGCTTCCCACTTAATCAGATCTTCCTTTACATCTTGCAGTAAAAATCATAAATTTTTCTTCTTTTCAATATAGTGTACATACATGTCTTTGAAAGCATATAGTTATTTTATAACTCTTTTAAAAAAGATTTTTATTTATTTGAGAGAGAGTGTGTGCATGTGTGAGGGGGGAGAGGCAGAGAGAGAGAATCTCAAGCAGATTCCTTGCTGAGTGTGGAACCCAATACAGAGCTCCACCCTATGATCCTTAGGCCATGACCTGAGTCAAAAATCAAGAGTCGGATTCTTAACCAACAGAGCCACCCAGGCGCCCCTATTTTATAACTTTTGACACTACCTTAATGGGATCAATGTCATACACAGTGTTTTGAATAGAGACCTCTAAAAGGTATACAACCCAAGGAAAAATGGCTAAACTATATGAACAAAAAAATTCATGGAAGAGGAAGAAGCTCGGTCTCCTGAGCAGCCAGGAAAAACCAAACTATGACAATACTTTTCTCCATCAGCGTATACAATAAAACAAACAAACAAAAAAACTCTCTTAATATATGTCGTGGGTAGGAGAGGGGTAGGTCAACCAAGATAGCTGTGCAAGGCTCTTTGGCAACACCTATAAAAATTCAGAGTGTGTGCTCTTGACTCAGAAGTCTCACTTCTGGGCTCTACGCTGGAGAAACGCTTACCCAGGACACAGAACATCATCAGGGATACATATTGCCCCACTAGTGCACATTTATAAGTCTGAAAAGTACATCTTTGCTTTGAGGAGTTGGTGGTACTCTGTGCTGATAAGGAATGGAAACACAAAGCTGATAGAATACTAAAGTCACCAAAAGGGTCAGTTCCCCTTTGTCTTGATCTCTCACCCTAACTAAATTATGTATTTTCAGTTTATTAAGGAGAGTGGTCTTAAAGGTTTTGTTTTTTTTTTTTTTTTAAGATTTTATTTATTTATTTGTCAGAGAGAGAGTAGCGAGAGTGAGCACAGGCAGACAGAGTGGCAGGCAGAGGCAGAGGGAGAAGCAGGCTCCCTGCCAAGCAAGGAGCCCGATGTGGGACTCGATTCTAGGATACCAGGATCATGACCCGAGCTGAAGGCAGCTGCTTAACCAACTGAGCCACCCAGGCGTCCCAAGGAGAGTGGTCTTGAAGAAAATATTTACCAGCTCATTCTCAAATTACCTATTGTAAGAATCTCATTCTTTTATAATAAAAATTATTTAACAATAGGACAAATTCCACTTTTTTTTTTTGTATAGATCAGAGATTTGAACTGAGACAATTTTGTAAGATTTTTTAGTGATTTTTCCAGGTTTGTATTTGTCTAAATAAGTAAGCAAACAAAACTCAAGGTGCCTTCTAATTTAGCAGCTGGTCAAGGCCCTACAGTCCCTACTGGCAAAAGTCCAACCTCACCTGACCTGCCTTACTTCCTGCCCCTTCACTGCACAGACATGGAGTCCAGGCACCTGCTGGCTCCTACCCACCTATGCGGACTTGATGCCACTTCCCTGAAGACTTCTCTGGACCCAACTCATTCAGCCACTTCTTCTCTGAACTCAAAGCACAGAGGTGACACATGACATAGTCTGGTACACAATTCACCCCAGCCTCATACTGGCTCTCTCTTTTCCCCTGCGTTAGCTCTGTCTCCTGATCCAGACCATTTTCTTAAGGAGGAAGCTGTATTTCTGACACATCTAGTGGTTTCTTAAATGCTCTATTTCTCTTCTAGGTGGCAAAGAAACACAACATGATGTTTGGAAATATAATTCTTCAATCAACAAATGGATTCAAATTGAGTATTTGAATATAGGCCGCTGGAGGCATAAGATGGTGGTGTTAGGTGGCAAGGTCTATGTGATTGGAGGTTTTGATGGCTTGCAGAGGATCAACAATGTGGAGACTTACGACCCCTTCCATAACTGCTGGTCAGAGGTATAGGAGATTTATTTCTATGACTGACTTTGTATTACTACTTCAAAGCTTTAAAAAAAAAAAAGAAAAGTATATGCCCATGTAGGCATATGGCTTTCTGATCTCTCTGCTCCCACTGAGAACATTGTTGGTAGCTCTGAGCTTCTCTCCTAAAAGGAGCCTTTGCTTCAGCATTGCTGATCAGGTCACAGAAACAACTTCCTTCCAGGTGGGGAAGCTCTGTGCGGACAAGAACCCCAGGTGTAGAGGGGAGACTTGGTCCTAAACTCAGTTGGCATATCTTAGCTCAGAGTCGCTATCTCCCCAGATGCCATCTGCCCTTGTTGTCTCCACAGTGAGCATACAGGGATCCCTTTAATATACTGTTTACTGAGTCGGAGTAATTTGGCAGTGTTTAGAGCTTAGCCCTTATTTATTTGCCTATTGGTGAACAATTTACATGCTGCTTGCAAGACTTTAGCTGTTCAATCTCAGGTGTATATCATTGCTAGTTAATGGGCATAGAGTTTCAGTTACACAAGGTGAATGAGATTTGGTGGTCTGCTACAGATAATGGTACTGCAGTTTATGCTTAAAAATGTGTTAAGAGAGATCCTTTTGTAGTTCATAAGTGTGATGATTGCATGTTCACACTGTTGTGTGATATGTGCCTCCCTCAAACTTTTTTATGACCTTGGAACGTTACCCGTCTTATGTGAAAAAAAATTTGTCAAGAGAGTAGATCTCATGTTAAGTGTCTTTACAATAATAATAATAATAATAATACGATCTCACTTCCTGTATTTTCAGGTTATGCCCAATTTCAAATTTTCTTTCTCCTTATTAGATCACATGTCAGAATATGTTCCACATTGGGGGAGTGTAAAACCTGGTCATTAGGGGCACAAGCAAAGGTAGCCAGGTCGTCATGGCATCCAGCCATGATCTGTCAACCTGAAAACTGCTGTATAGCCCTTAATTTATGGGGGTGTGCCCCAGATCTGCTCAGCTGTTTAAGTCCTGTTACAGAGTTGCACCATGACTAATGAGGGCCATGTCCCTGGTTAAGAAGCTCTGGGAAGTCCCCTTAAGTGCTGTGGGGTTCACAGGGTGGGAGTACAAGTATGGCTTAATCCCCAAATCTTATTTTGCCCCAGAGTGGGAGTCTGCTTACCTATGACCACCTGAAACCCTTATACCAGCTTTTCTTCCTAGATAGTAGCAATAAGGACAATGCCTGGCACATAGGAGGCACTCAGTGAATATTTTTTGAATGAAGGAACACATGAATGAATATAAATATGCATGTTTGAGAAAGCATTTTCCTCCAACATTGGCTGGTTTCATCTGTATAAACACTTATTCCCATGTACACCTTTCCTCACCTGATAGCTGGAGTTTGGAAGAAACTCAGCCTGTTCTAGCCCACCCTGAGCTTTCAGGGAAGGTGGTAAATGCATGCTTTGACCTCTCTGCATCTCAGAGGGAGTCAAGCCCAAAGGCCTTGTGACCTCAGGCAGAGGATGCGCAGACTTGCGTCCCTTAGCTCCTGGCCTGTGTCCTGTGAGCCACTGCAGCAATCTGGGAGCAGTCTGTAGCTGTGTGACTGACAGCTCCTCCTGGTGCCCTGTGCCTCTGCAGGCTGCGCCCCTTCTTGTCCACGTCAGTTCCTTCGCAGCTACGAGCCATAAGAAGAAGCTCTATGTGATTGGGGGAGGACCCAATGGGAAATTGGCCACAGACAAGACTCAGTGTTATGACCCCTCAACTAATAAATGGAGTTTAAAGTCGTCCATGCCAGTGGAGGCTAAATGCATCAATGCAGTCAGTTTCCGGGACCGCATCTATGTTGTTGGTAAGTGAATGAATAACATCTTATTTATCTGAGCCCACACATGCAGCCTTGCAGGGAGATCAGATGAGGTCCTCCTGGGAACTCAGATTCCTGGGTGATGTGGGTGAGGTTGAAAAAAAAGAAAAGACCAGATTGGAATTTACCTTCCAGTCTTGGATGCAGAAACAGCTCACTTTTAGGGGACACACAAAGCAGACTGACAGTGGGATCCAGTGGAGGAGCCAGAAGCTGCTACAGGAACAAAGTGTATTGTAAACATTGGCAAATGTACAGATATTGAAATGTGCACAGTATATGTGATAAGTGACCGATAAATGGTAGCTATCATCATTTCTTATTTTGTGTTCATGGGAATTTTACCCTTTCTACTTGCTTTGGGAGTTCTGACAAGTTGCATTTAGCCAAGAGGAAAGCCTGGCTGGTCAGACCACAGTAGGCATGTAATTGTTAAGGATGATGGATCTCAATACTGACTATTCATGAGAATCACCTGGGGAGCTTTTTAAAGAACTATGCATTGCTGGAGCTTACCCCAGACCAATGATATCAGAATGAGAGGGAGGACGCTGGCCAGCAGAGCAAAGTGTTTTGAATGTGCAAGTGATTTTTCCCATGCAGCCACGACTGAGAGTCACTGATGTAAGGAGATGCCAAAAATATGTAACTTCAGCAAATAAGAGCTAATTAGAGAAGGCTTTCTGGAGGCAAAATACAGGAAGAGATTAAGGAAAAAGCCCTTCTCACCCTTGCTTCAGGTTTCCTGTATCTGTATGGTCAGTCTCGTGACTTCAAAGCTCATCTTAAAATGGTGACTTGGACTGGTGTGCCAGGTCATGCTCAGTCTACAGAGAGATGCCACCTCCTCTAGTCATGGTCATGTGTTGATAGCTTCTATGCACTAGGCCTTCTGCAGGTGCTTTATGCCCATGGTCCTTCTGGTGTTTTAAAATCACCTTGGTCTCAGGGATTATCGTTACAATAAAAACGTGACAGAGCTGGGATGACGAGCTGAGTGCACCCAATGAACAAGATGGTATTTCTTCTAGGGAGCAGTCTTAGGGTACATTTTGGCACCGTGTGAAACCAATTGTCATTTAACACCTGATTAGCACCTGACCGCAGAGTTTAAAGGGCTCTTTGAAGGGTTGCCAACGTGAGACTTACTGCCCCTTCTACCCTTTCAACCTTTCTGGAGAGCCATGAATATACCTTTTCTATTGGCAAGATGGTAGATTTTACCGAGCAGAAGTGGGATTTTTGTGGGTAAAAGGGAAGAAAACCAGAACAGTGAGATGCCCACCGTGTTTCCCTTCCTCTTCAGGAGGGGCCATGAGAGCGCTGTACGCCTACAGCCCCCTGGAGGACAGCTGGTGCCTGGTGACCCAGCTCAGCCATGAGAGGGCCAGCTGCGGCATCGCGCCCTGCAACAACCGGCTCTACATCACCGGGGGAAGGGACGAAAAGAACGAGGTCATTGCCACCGTGTTGTGTTGGGACCCTGAGGCCCAGAAACTGACAGAAGAGTGTGTCCTGCCCCGGGGGGTGTCACACCATGGCAGTGTCACCATCAGGAAGTCTTACACCCACATCCGGAGGATCGTGCCAGGAGCCGTGTCAGTGTGACTGCGCAAGGGCACCAGGTGCCGGGAGATCGCCCTCTGCACCTGTTGCCCGGGTTCATGCCACTAAAGACAGCAGGCTGGCCTTGAGCTACGGGCCTTACACCTGGGCTCCCCATGGGGGCTCCTTGGAAGTCACAGCTTTAGGACACTTGAGACCAGCCAGGAATGTTTGTGTGACCTACCTCAGGAGGAAAGAAGAAGACTACTTAACATTCAGGACACACCTGTCCCATGCCAGGTTCTGTGCCAGGCACTTGTGTGTATCAATTCATTTAACCATCATAACGACCTGGTGACTGGGTATGATCACTTCACTTTTACAGCTGAGGAAACTGAGTTTCTGAGAGGCTAAGGTCTTCGCCCCTGGTGACTCTTATTATAAGTAGCTAAGCCAGGAATCTAAACCCAGCTCTTCCCGTTGCAAGGTCAGTGGTGTTCTGTCATGTTGTCTATCTCTGAGTAGGAAACAAAACAAACAAAAGCTGGTTCATTTTTTCTTCTGACAAGTTTGCTAAAAGGATTCACTCAGAAAGGCAAGGAAATAAAGTTGTTGTTTTTTTTTCCCCCCTTTTCTTTTTTTCTTCTATTAGAGCCTTCGGCTCCTTGTCAAGAGTGTCTTGTATGTTGTTCTATCTAACAGGACTGGGAGTTGGCTCTGGGAAGACCTATATGCTTAGAAAGAGATAAAAGACTTTTCCCCCATCAAAACTTTTATTTCTTAGGATCACAGAGGTACATTCAGACCAGAACTGTCCTTGCTAGACAGAATTGTACCTTCAGCACAGGCCAGTGCCCTCGCCTCTTCATGCCCAACACCTATATTGCAGTATAGAAAGGGTTTTCCAGAGACTCAGATTACTATTTTTTTTTTTTAATGTAAAAATTCCCTCCCTGCTGGCCACTGCAGGAATGACTGACTCTTCTTGAACCATATACTTTCTGCCTTTTAGATTGAGATTTGAGTCCATGTCCCTGAGTCCCCACCTTCCTGGAACCTTAGTTTTCAGGATCTTTTGAAGCCCTTCTGTTTGGTTTTTGGATCAGTCTGGCACAATTTGGTTGCAAAGAATGGACTCTGTCCACTCTAAGAGATAGAGCTTTCAGATGAGCTCACTGGAAATTTATTCTAATCTCCAAATTGGGGAAACAGATCAAGAGATCCTGTTTCATGTGCTGTACTTAAAAAGCAACAACCATGGTAACAACATAGTAACTGCATTACCCAATGTGTTTTATTTTCATCATACTATTTCAGATCTTTTTACAGAGTTTTATTTCATGTCAGATGCGGCAGACTGTGCTTGTACTTCTGAATAGTTTGGGAAGTTAGAGGTATTAGAGTTGATAGCTGAATTTTCATAGAAAAGTTGTGGTTAGAAGCTAAAGTTCAAAGCTGAAAAAAAAAGACTTGGAACATTACAAATAAGATTTCTATGTACACTTATGTCACTGGGGATAAATATAAACACTTGTTGGTGTGTGAAAAATTCTGTGCCTTTGGGTGAGGTTAGGTTCAGCTCCCTGCTCTGAAAAGCAGGGTGGGAAAATACATATTTGTGGAAATATAGAACACATTACAGTAAGTGATGTACTTACTCATAAGCACTAATAACCTTAATGAAGATTTCAACTGAAACAATTTAATCTAGTTCCATTTAGCAAATATTCAAGGAGTTCGTTCTGTTTGTCAAGACTCGGGGACACCAATGAATAAGACAAATTCTTCCCGACCAAGAAACACTCAGTAAACCAGTAAACAGGCCACTAGTCAACATTATATTTTTTCTTTTCATTAAGTTGGAGAAAAATGAGATGTATATGAAGTTATGAGGTTACATCCATGTCTTTATTGCCCTCCCAGGAGCATCTTAGAAGGCTGTGTTCTTGGGCCAGTGATGTGGCCATTGCTTACATATTTGACTTTCTTTGAGATCGCCTTCGGAAACCATTTGTGAGCTACAGGAGAAATCATTTTCCCAAGACCATTTCAGGGAAGAACTTCCAAGATGGATATCCAATGACAACATCAGTGGCATATGCAGAGAGCTCCCCTCAGAAAGAGAGTGTTCCTTGTCATGGCAGTCCTTTGATAAGAACAATCAGCAAATTTTGCGCTCATCAGTGAATCATCCTTGGGAAAGGGATTTAGGATCTCTATGTTATAAATCTGGTTCTCACTGCAGGACCCAAGTATCAGGACTAGTTCAGAATATTTAAATGAAGGCAAGGGAAGGATTCTATGTGATTTTTATGTCATCAGATATGCAGGCGACTTGTAAAATCTCAGGTGCCTGACCCTTAAGAAATAGAGATTCTCAACAATGGCATGGGTTGGCAGACAGTCACACCTGTTAAGACGGTGCAGAGTTCTGTACTTAAAGCTGCCAGTCAGCAGGTTTTAGAGAAAGAAGAGTTCAAGTAATTTGGTGAAACTTTCTAAGCATATTGGGATTTAAGCTTCTAGGCACCAGCCCGGATGGAGGTTCTTAAAATCTAATTTCCATTTGCAGATGAACAATCAATCAAAGAATTTTGTTTGTGTAGCTGTCATAACCCATCCCACCAGCAGGGGGAAGAGGCAGGTGGGTGCCAGATGAGCTAGAGGCAAAGGGCTCCAGGGACTGAGGCAGGGCAAGGGGCTCTTCTTGGCCCAGCAGACTGGATCTGCAAGCAGGTTGTGTGAGGGACCTCCCTGGCCAGGAGGAAGAGGTTGAGCTGGGAGGAGAAAGAGGAAGTCAAGTTTAAGGATACAGGTCTAGAAAATGATACCGTAGTCTCTAGATTTTGTGAGCATGACTCCATTCTCAAAGGCAAAAGAGATAAGGAACAGCTAGTTCAGGCAAGTGGGTTCCAGGAGAAGAGAGGCACAAGTTCGAACAGGACTGGCAGCCAGACCCACTTGTTGGGGCGGGGGTCTCTGAGCTGCCTGGCTGGGTCTCCTATTTTACTGGACCTAAAGAAAATGAGGCCCAGAGGCTGTGATGGGATTGAAATTGTCGGAGAGGTTAAAGGACTCTGGTTGTCAAAGATGATCTGAAATGGACAGGGAGCTAAGCTCACCTGAACATCCACAGATAAATGTCCTCTTGTTAGCCTTCACCACATTCTGCCATCAGTGGCTTCAGGAAACACACATGCTCACACACTGCTCTTGAACTCGAACTGTGCTCTCAGGGAAATAGAAATATAGTTTGCTTATAGCTGTGAAACTATAGCTTTGCTATTTATAAAAGCACTTGAGATACTGTTGTCGAATCCTACTTGATTTGAATAAGAAAAGTACTCAGAATTTTCAAAGTGAGTAAATACCGCTGGAATTTCTTATATAAGGTCCTTGGGGTTGCAAAATCATTTTTTCCCTTAATATCTGATTTGAGTGTTGTATTAGATCTCGGAATCTGAAGAGTCAAACTTCATGGAAATCCACAAATATCTCAAATGTGGCCCTTGCAAGACCAATTTTGACCAATTTCATATTTATAGGTAAAAATGTCAATGCTAACTTGACCAAATCCTTTCAGCATTTTGGCTACATGAATTTGTATTTTTTTAAACTATCAAACTAAGGATATTGTTTATGCATAAATATACAAATAAATTTTGTATTTATTCAATAATGTGTGGAATGAATAAGAATGTTGTACACAATTATTAGGTGAAATTTTTTTTGCTTGTTTTAGTTAATATGAGTAAGTAGTATCTGAATAGAAATTAATTTAGGAGATGGGAATTTAAAACATTTCTGCTGGTTCAACAGGGTTTCAATAAATTCATAAGCTAGAACTGATCAGAAGTGGTCTAGAAAATGGCAAAAAAGTAGACAGCTTTTCCCTCCCTAAAGTCTCATTGCCGCTATGAGCATGCTTTTACCAACCCACTTGCAAGCTGTGGGACTCTCATCCTGCCTGCCTTACTCCTTCTTACAGGAGGCCCCCTTCTAGGTTTTGGATTTCTGGTCTGACACTTAATCTTGCGCCTGGGTGACTCAATCAGTTAAGCGTCTGCCTTCAGCTCAGGTCATGATCCCAGAATTCTAGGATCGAGCCCCACATCAGGCTCCCTGCTTAGCGGGGATTCTACTTCTCCCTTTCCCTCCACTGCTCCCCCTGCTTGTGTTTTCTCTCTCTCTCTCTGTCTGTCAAATAAATAAATAAAATCTTCTAAAAAGTAAAATAATAATAAAAAAAAATTAACCCCGCCATACCAACATCACTGTGTTTTTTCTGAAGCTTTAACCAACCTGTGCTTCTTAAATCAGGGCACTTGGAACTTGGCAGTTGAGACAGAGAGCTGTAGTTTTTGGCCACTGGAAAACTTGTCATCAGTTTAGTTTGTTTTGGATAACATTACAAAGATCCTGTGCCACTGAAAGGGAAAACCTGAGGTTTTAAAGAAATGTGGAGTCACATGAATAACTTTAACCATTCTTCCTGTCCTCCCTGGAAATGGAGGTTCTGGCTCCTCTACTTTGGGGACTCTGGATGGAAAAGCTCGGGAAGCATAGCCTCATCTCCCTGGTGGGAAGTATTCTGGAGTTAATCCTGGACAACAGCTCAACAGCCAGCGCACCGTTGTGAGCCAAGAGGGGGTTTTGACCTTAAATTCACTGCTGAGCTCTCCAGTTTCCCTGCTGGGTCTAAGTGGTAATCTGAGGCCTGGGCTGCTCAGCCAGGGCCTGGCATCTGCCCACCTTTCCTTGGCCTCTCTCGCCGCTCTCGGTGGTCTCTGCTAGTATGTGGCATCCTCTGGACGTGTCCCCTTTTCACTGGGGATATGGCCTTTATATAGGATCTCAATTCTCCTCTACCTCCTGTGGGCTTGCGCCTCATTTTCTGTTTTTCTTTTCTTTCTTTTTTTTTTTAAGTTTTATTTATTTACTTATTTGAGAGAGAGCGCCAGTGAGGGGAGAGCAGAAGGAGAAGTAAAGGGAGGGCGAAAGAACCTCAAGCAGACTCCCTACTGAATTCAGAGACCTACATTGTGGGGCACAGTCTCACAACCCTAAGATCATGACCTCAGCTGAAACCAAGAGACGCTTAACTGACTGAGCCACCCAGGTGCCCCTCATTTTCTGTTCTTATATGCTACCACAATTCAGACCCTTGGTGCTGGGAACTAATTTGGGTCAGGTCTCCCCAACTCCCAAGCTGCCCTGTATCAGCCTGCCTAATTACTAATCACTGTGGTTTCACTTCCATGCTTGTTTCTAATTCCTAGGAATTTTCCTTCTTGCATGCTCAGATATCTCCTTTGTTATTGGTTCCTGCATGGCAGGCAACCTGGACATCCATGCCTGCCCTCATCTCTGGTCATCTGTCTGAGTCCCTAACCTGCTGCCTCCCCTGGGGTGTCCAAACGTAGAAAACTCATTACCCTTCCTGTGTTGACTTCTAGCTATCCTAGCACCATAGTATCTCTCGGGTCCCCTAATTTCTGTGTTTCAAGAAAAATCAAAAGGAGATAGGATACTGACTGTGGCTACACATTTTTTTTTTTTAAGATTTTATTTATTTGACAGAGAGAGAGTAGGCAGAGAGGCAGGCAGAGAGAGAGGAGGAAGCAGGCTCTCTGCTGAGCAGAGAACCCGATGCGGGACTGGATCCCAGGACCCTGGGATCATGACCGGAGCCGAAGGCAGAGGCTTTAACCCACTGAGCCACCCAGGTGCCCCTGGCTACAAATTCTTTAAAAAGGTATGTGTGTAAGGAAAATTTCCTTTTCCTTTAGTAAAACTAACCCAGTTCCTCCAAGTTTGTAGTAGAGGGAGAAACTCCCAGTGGGGACAGAGAGTTGGATCTCATAGCCTCAATGCTTATCCCTGTAAGGAAAGAGTCCTATACATGGCTCTTAATTTCCCAAAGGACATCACA